CAGCTGTGAAGCAGCAAGGTGCTGCACTGCCTCAAGCATCAACAGCATTAACTTCAGTACCTTTATCATGCAACAGAAAGAACAGAGTAATATCCTGAGGCCTGGTGGAAACACTTCCTATTTATTATTAGGCTGGGCACTTTTGCCGTGAAGAACACAAATGTAGGTATTTCAGCATGTGAGCTTTCACACTTACTGTCTGGGAAATTACTTTAATTTTAAGAAAAAGTGAACACTTATGTCATTTGAACTGGGGTCCTGGTAAAGAATCTTACATTATCCTTTTTGCTTGGTCCTTAGATGTCATAGTTTCTTCTTGTTCTTCTTCTTCAGTGGAGCTGTCACTTTCACTACGAAACAAATGAGACACTAGAGTATTATTTAACTCTGCTCAAACTGGATTTTGATTACTAGCCATTTCTAGAATGCAAATTTTAAAACATTAGAAAAAAAGGAAGATCTTTTGAGGAAGATCTCTGGGTGTTATGGATGGTTCCTGACACAATCATTCCAGCAAAATATATTCAATATAGACCACACTGTGTCAGCTAAGGGTATTTAAAGCACCTTGCTGTTTATTATCTACATTTTTTTTCTGATGATTGTTCTTTTCAAACTTCCTTTCCATAAAATGTGCATATCCAGAGAAGAGAGCAAACAGCCTCCTCAGACCCCATTAACTCTAGAAGAAGGAATGTTTGCCAGAACCTGTAGCAGATCTCAAGAAGAACCTGGTCTCCCAGACATGACTATAGGGCCCTCTTATCACACAGCACACTGGGGAGCCAGCACCAACAGTTGTTTATCTAAGAATGTAAGCCAGGACTTCCATTTTTATACAGCGCTGTCACAACGTTAGCCCAACTCCAACAGGCAAATCCAAGCACTGCTTTGCAGACAATGCCCACTTCTTCAGACCTGGAAAACTTGCTCAAAGTTATTTCCCTGGAGGACTTGCATGCCCTTTCCACGCTGCCTGCACCTCTGCTTGTTGTGATAGAGGTTATCTTTTCTTGAGATTGCCTCCATGTTCAGCTAGGGGCTTTCCCTTTCTACGAAGGTCACAGAGAGGTGGAAAAGTAGAGAAAACTTTAAAAGTTATATTTCACCATAAGCATGAGACACAAAGAGTAGGTTACTTGCTTCTCATTACCAGTAAAGTCAAAATTTACCTTTGTTTCTCACCAGAGAATGATACTGACTTCTGTGGTTTAGCATCTCTTAAATCAATGTATACTGTTGGAGGCTTTGGTGGGTGTTGTAATTTCATCATGTTCATCCTTAGAGAATTTGGTGAAGATGACAGGAAGGCAACATCCCTAAGTACAGAAAACAGTTTCAGCATGTCCTCCTCCTTATCGAAACAGGACGTTCAGAAGGACACAGGTTATGTCCAGAATTAGACTGAGAAAAGAATTTTGTGTTTGGCTAAGGCACAGGTTCAAACTCAGCTTCTGCTTACTGACCACCAACTTTCAGAGCTAAAAGATTCAGCTTCCCTCTAGGAAAACCCCTCATCATGCCTCCTGCAATTCATTTTTCGTTCTTAAAAACTGACAAGTATGTCACATTGTCAAATCATACTGTAAAACACACGAAAGGAGACAGTTACTGTACCAAATGGTATACAAGTTCTGAAGGAGTCACGAGTCAACAAGTAAAATATCCTTTATCCTCTCTGCCTCCTTTGACAATTTTATCTTATCCTTTGGAGAATACACAGTGCAAATATATTCCTAACTCCATCTGCTTTGCCTGAAAGGTCACCTTCCATCTTTCACTTCACTGGCTGCTTTCGCTATTGTTTCCTCCATACTGCCATCAACGTTGTCTCTGAACTGCCTGGAAATGCACTTCCTTCACACAGAGCCCTCCTCAAGATGACCATGGCACCTACAGAAAATTGCTTGGTATATTTTGGCTAAAACAAGGGACCAATAAGAGAAACTGTAAACCTTAAACACACTCTAAATGACAAAAACATAGCCACTTTTCACTCTTATCACTTATCTGCTGAACATTGTTCTTCAGCCCTTTGTGTTTGTGTTTTTAGACTGTAAGCTCTCTGAACGTACAGCAAATTGACAGAACAGAGAATGCAATGCTAAACATGTCCTACAGGATCTAGACCAACCTGAAGTATATGATGGAGAATAATTATCAAATAGACAACATGAACAACTGACCCGTATTTTTCTCCTTTAATGTCACTGTAGCACATTCTATCTATGATATCAAAATTTTGGCTATAGAGGAAAGGCTCTATGAGGCACCATGACTTTTCAGGCATGCCTGTTTCTACTACAGAGTACCCAGTGAATGTGACAACTGGAGAAGTGGACCTACTTCTCATTCTCTTGCCATTCTTGAGTGCAGGAGAGCTTTGCTGATGGCCACATGCAGTGTGGAGATGTCCTGGACTGCCTGGCACACAGCTCTTCCAGCTTTTTCATGAGCTGATTTTCAGATCTAGCCCTCAAGGTCTCTATGAAAGAACAAAGGAAAAAGATCAGTATGATCTTTTTGCAAAGGGATCACCCTATGAACCCCTTCCCCTGTTTTCACTTTGTCCCTTTTCTCTATAGCTTGTCAGATAAAGTGGGGTGATAAAGATATTATTGTCATTTGGCTCTAACTAAGCTCACTTCAACCCTTCATCTGTCTTGTTCCTGATTCACTCTCATGCCATGATCAGCCACAAAGCACTGGTTCAAACTAAAGAATCACAATAAATTCTTCAGATATTTTAAAGATCACAGCTATAATCTCAACATTCAAGAAGATGCTGCAAAGAATGATTCAATAAAAAAAAGAAACTTATTTTTACACATTTTCAGCAAAGGTAGTATTAGTTTTGCAGTGTTACCATGATCTGATGAAGAGAAAGCAATTTCCTCTAAGCAAGTGCAATCACCCTTCTGCTGCTCCAGCTCCTCAAGAATCTTGTCTAGATCCCATTTCTCAATACCCTGAAAGAAGATAATCAAACAGTGATGGAAAATCCATGCCCAAAAGGCTGCTACAATGTATAAACCCCTTTCAGCCACAGTCTGTGTGGTAACTCCATCCGATTCTTCTGCCACACATAAATACCTGGATAACACCTGGAGTTTATCCTGCTTATCTTCAGTACTATGCTGCCCTCACTTGCCAGTAAATGAACTAGTACTCCACTGTAGAAAGAGCAGGTTTGGCAGTAGCCTACACAGTTGAGCATGACTTAAAAAAATGGTATTTTTTGTTTGAATATTGCCTATCTCAAATTACTGTCATGGCTCTGCATATCTGGCATGGGCAAGCGCATCATAATTTCTAACAAAACGTGATGAAGGATCTAACTGATGTTCAAACATCAAATATCGTCTCTTGCCACACTTGAAAAAAATGCACTTGGAAAAATCTGCCTAGGCAGATGCTTCTAAAACGGACTGAACTGGCAGTGCCTTAATAAGAGAAACATAAGACCCACAACCTTTTCTTCCACCTCCAGCTCCTGACCTCGGCATATTCCTGTTCCTTTAAGCACAGTCAACATTAGCTGTGATCTCACAAGTATTTATCCAAAATGAGAAGATGAGATGATCTCAACACTTTGTCAGTGTGACTATTTAGCCATGCACACACTGGCTGAAGGTATGTTCACACTGCATGCTGCTAACACAAGTATAAGAACCCATCTATCTGTGATGACCCCAAAGTCCATATGCATTTAAAACACTGATCACTTTTTCCTCATGAATATTATTTGAAATGTCATTTTTCATTACAGATATCCACACATAGTCTGTGAAATACCATAATCAGAGCAGAGATTGTTCACAAATATTTATGATTTTTGGAAAGGAAAGTTGGCTGTCAGTTATGTCATAATTATGTCACAACTGCAACAAAACCATACATTCCATGCAGCTACCTCAAGCCTTTCAGAAAAGCAGCACCAGTCTCAAAAACAAATACGGTTTCACCTTGTAAAAATCTTCATCATTTATCACTCCCATCTGAGACATGGTTTTCACTTTTTCCAGACCAATAAATCTCCATGGGTAGCTGAACCATGATTAAGTCTACTCTAACATTGTAGTCTGCAGCTGAAGAAAGATAAAGCCTAATGACAGCCACGAGCTAAAATCTCCTACACTGACATGAAACTAACCTTGATTCAGCAATATCATTTGGATATATTTGTTTGGAAAAACAGACAGCTGAGTGTACTACCATGAGAACCAACTCACAGTTCAGTACAGGTGCCGTTTTCATAAAAGGCAGCTTTTAGCTAACAACCTGCAGTGAAGCACAACATACAAATTTGCTCTAATTATAACGCAATTAGTGCTTAGCTTATTTTAAAAACTGTGCTTACTATTTTAATACTAATACTACTACTACTACTAATAAAAAACATCAAATTGTCATATAATGTGGATGTCAGAACAACTCCAACTGCCATTTTTTCTCACCCCTAGCATTAGTGCAGTACCAGGGAAGAAAAGGCAAGAGCTCAAAGGTCAGAATCTTCACTGTTTTCATTAAAATCCTGTCTGTGAACAGAAACCACTGATGTCTTCCCAGGAACAGACTTTGTGGTTGGCTTTCCTCAATATGAACATACGAATATGAACGCTGTGGCGTGTACAGAATTCAGCATTTGCTTATTTGTTCCCCCTTCCACATGAACCTCACCTCTTGAAACCATCTGTTAGGCCCACTTACCTTCAATGACAAATGGATTAGTTCTTGAGGATGTTCAGCTGAGGAAGTTTCTTCCTTATTGATCTGTTCTGTAATGCCACTAGTGTCCCCTAAGTCTGGCTCCACTTTTAGCTCTGTGTGACTTGGTGATGGCTCCAGAAATACTTTAGAGAGTATTTTTGTCTCTATCAGCTTTCTCCTCTCTTTTTTATTGCTTGGCTCTTCCATAGACAACACTATATTAGGCCAAAATTCTTCTGTCTCCCCATCCTGTCTCCTGTCCCGTTCTTTCTCTTCAAATTGATCTGTGGAATCCGCAAGAGATTCTTCAAAAACAGTTCTTTTTGGCCCTGGAATTCCCTCACTATGGCTGGCAAAACTGGAAGTCTCATCTTTAATCACTTGCACATGTTTTTTTGCAGTGACTTCAACACCACCTGTTTCTTTCTGCAGGCCAAAACTTTCCAGGTCTTCATTCCAGATCTTCCATGGATGTCTTGCTGTTTCCTGTATTTGCTACAGGTAGAGAAAATACACATGCAGAAGGTCACATCTCCACTAAGCTACAGAAGTGGACAGTGAGCCAAAAGAAAGTGACTGGCAGACAGCAGTTCCAACTCAAGACACCATACGGTAGCAGCACACAGCATGTTTTGCCGTGGAAAACAGTAAGACTGTTTACTTTGTAAAGCCTGAAACTTCAGAAAATAATAATGTCCTTGAAATTAATTTGCCTTATATCTAGTCATAATGTGACATCTTACACCAAGATAAATGAAACAGAAAAATGGCACAGGAAGCTAGTCTTCACTATGAGGAAATAATAGAGTCACACAGCTCCTCTTCAGGCTTCCTATAATGTAATAGTCATCAGTTGTACAAGGGATTAACTTCATACTAGTCCTCTTTGTTCTCCACTGTCCTAAACCTACATTTTCTAGCTGCGTAAAGTAGTGGTTGAAATTATTTTAAACCCTGAAAGGTTTAGAAGCCATTGCGCAGCGCTACTGCTAATGCATGGATGCTCGGTAGCTTCACAGAGCACTCTGGGCCCCAGGGTACCAATGTCCAGCAATTGAGCTGCAGGCAGTGAGTTTATTACTGAAAGGGCCATAGAGTCAGCGAGCAGAATCTTCCTCCTTAACAATTTGGTGTAATCACCAATCCATAAATACTTAAATGTTCTTTCTGACTAGCAGTTTGCTCTTGTTTCTCACTGAGCACTTATGATTACACAACAACCAGTATCTCCCCACCTTTGATATGTATATTATTCAAAATAAGTTTTGTTAGATTTAGAAGAGGCCACGAGATATCTTGAGAGACAGGATAACAAGTAAAACGAAGGTTAGGATTTTAGAGAGGGAGAGAGGGGATCCATAACACTAGGCACTAAGGAATGCGATAGATTTTGGAAAAAAAAAAAAAAAAAGAGTAGAAAGACAATAACAGAAATTTCCAGAAGATGGGATAGAGAAAAAAAACACCTAAGTCTCCCGAGCAGAGAAAGCTTCAAAGATGAGCTATATAAAGAAAAAGAAAGGTCTAAACTACAGTGCAAAGAAGTACTGGTGACCATACTATTATATGACAAAAAAATCAGTCAAATAATTACACTAAAGGTGTAATTATTCACACGCACACTGCAGACAACCAAAAGAGTGGTCTTAACAGTAGCACAGTCTGCACAGACTGATCAACCACCTGCATATTTGAGTCTTCCCAGGAAAAATCCATCAGTTCTTCTGACAGGTCAGGAATTAAGTTTGGATGTTTTCGTTGGAAGATGAAAAGCTCCCCATCGCTCTCACAATCAGACTGCCAACGAAAAAAAAAAAAAGAAGAATTAAATGAGAGACTCTAACCCCCAGCTAAGTATCTGTTTTGTAGTGACAAATTCATCCTTTCACCACTTCACTAAAGTTCAGAGACTAGCATATTCTTTGTCAGATATTCACTAGACAGTCTGATACCACAAGACTCAGCAACCCAAGCTGTCATTACAGTGGCCTAACATTTGAGGAAGCTACATTAGTGAAAGCTACAAAAACACCCTAAATTACCATGGAGGTTGATGACTAACACCCCCCTGAGCTAAATAAGGACAAGAGTGGGCCAGTCCTCTAACTCCCAAATGATCCCATGCACCTGCCAATCTAACAGACTCCACTGCCTCATTTATGATTCAGAATGCAAAGCAGTATCCACCTGCTGTGGACAGATTTTAAATGGAATTGAAAATCTCTTTCCTGAACATAAAATAGATGTTTGAGATTAATTTTTGTGCACAGACACCAAACTGAGATTAAGCACCTCCTCAGCAGACAGTCAGGACCCAGGTTTCTTGTCTGTCCTTTCTTTTAAAATGTGACACTTTCAGTAACTCTCATTGTAGAGAATTCTCATTGTCTGGGGTAATTAATTTTTCTTACCATGGAGGAAACTGCTGCAGCAATGTTATTCTCTTAAAAAGATGCATATCAGCTTGACTAAAACACCTTTAGGACATTAAATACTGTTGGCCACTGCCATTTCCAAATACAGGATCACAATCCACTCAGATTACAGATCTCAGATGCATAAAGGTATCTTGACATGAGCAGAAACCACTCAGTCAAAGGTGTAGCACTGAAATCACAGCCTCAGCAAGCTACTGTTTTACATTAAGCAGGAAGGGATTATACAATCAGCTCTTTTGAATGCAAATTAAGGGTAGCATGTAAGTGCCAAACAGATTGCCTCAGCTCCTCCGGCAGGAAATGTGCTCAATATGTAATAAAAACAAAGCAAATTTGGAGATCATTTATTTAAGTTAAAACAAACAGACAAACAATCCACATTAAATGTGATTTACAGGTTGGTTCTCAGCACCAAAGTACAAAGTTATCCTTCTGTCATAACGTTACTGTATACTCATGCAACAAGAATGCCTAGAACTCATTCCTGAGTCTAGGGCCTTAATGTGCACTGCAGAGACACACACTAAAATGCCATGCTTGCTTTAAATAGCTAAGCCAGAATGTAGGCAGAAAGGAACTGAGAAACAGTGGGGCAATATGATTCGTCCAACAGTTTACTGACAGAACCGGGAACAGAGACCAAGTCACGGAATCTGTATCAACTTTTTACCCACTCGATCACATCTCTTTTGACGACTGCTACTTAACGGCCCAAGGTGAAACACAGGACTCATTTTGGATGACAAAGGATCAAACTAAGTTATAATAAAGTATTTTCCTTAAGTGTTCACAAACATTTTATTCAAGGAAATACATGTTTGAAAACTAACAGAATAATCTAGTTTGGACAAAACACTTCTAATAGCCAATTCCTGAGACACAATCACCTCAGGAAAGACACTATGAGAACTGGCATCTCAGGCTAAAGAGGTATATGCTTTTATTACTGGCACCAAAATGTTGCTGTCCTCTGAACAGGGAACTTCAGGTTAGAAATTCAGTCCCATTTTTAGGTTTCAAATATTGCACAAGATAAGGTGCCAATTACATCCTGCCAATTACTGCTAATGCAAAAGTCTGATGATTAATGGTCACTACAATGGTACTAGGAACAAAAAAGCAACCTCAAGGATACCGTGCTAGCTACTCAGAAATGCCTGGCTAAGATGGTGAGACTATCTTGCTTTGGAGAGATTTTTCTAAAGACCTGTGAAAGAAGTGCTTACTGTGGAAGTGTCAGAGTCCAGAGATGGGAGCTGATCTTTCACTGCAGCAAGAATGGTTCCCCACTGAAATGCTATGTCATTTTGAACAGCAGATGTATGAGGCTCCGGCAGACACTCTGTATTCTCACTTTGCCCTTCTGAGGCCATTTGAACAGCTGCCCTTCAATTGAATGAAAGATGAACTTGGTACATATCATGACAGAAAACAAAGGATCACATCAGTATAAAGCAAGAACAACATATGTGTATTCAGGGTCAATATAACTCTCAACACTCTCAGGGTTTTCACTCCCAACAACGAATGAGATCTGCACTCCTGGAGCCTTTCCTTCCCATCTGAGTTTCGCAAGGCTCAGACCCTTCTGCCCTACTCACTACATACACACAGACCTGGGGCCATCCAGTGGCCAGCTTAGTCCTTCATTTATAAAGCATGTTTTGGCGGGACTCATTTATAACCATATTCTCAGAAAAGCGCATCCTC